ATTGACCCCCCCCCCCTCCCCTCAAGACCACATTATTCTTAAAAAAAAGAAAAGAAAATTGTCACTTTCCATCACTATGTATGTATGATTCTTGTTTTTATATTTCCAAAAAGAAAAAACGAAATTGTAATAACTAATAAAGTGTTTGTCAAGGAGAAAATCTTAATAGTTTATTAGTTGGTTGACTGTCTAAATTTAAAATAGCTTAATTATCAGCTAATTACCCTATATATCCGATAGATCATTAAAAGTCCTCAAAAATTCGTGCTTGTAATAATGCCTTAAGGTTGGGATCGGAAGAAGGACTATAGATTCAGAAGGCTAAACAAACTATACTCTAGAAATTATGAACAATTTAAAAGTTCTTATACCGTTCATAATTAACAAACAAATTACAAGTTAGATTTGCTACGCATGAATCGTTTCGAGTAAATAGTATATCAAAACATCGAAAAGAGCTCATATCTAAATTTTAGGACCGTTTAGAGAAGATTTGAGTTAAATGTCTATTAAATGATCATTTTGTTACAAAAAAATTCAAAAGTAATTTTACTCACAATTTCTATGACTTGAATATATACCATCCTTATAGGCTTACACTATTAATTAATCAAGTACCTGTTAGGTCACATTCATCTTTTTAATTTATGGAGAACAAGGTGGTACTATATGATATAAACAATTCGTCAAAATATTCAAATCAAGAGGCAACAAAAATATATAGTCACTTTCCATCACTATGTACCGGTATGTATGATTAATTCTTGTTCTGAAATGTCCACACACCACAAGTGTAACTGTTTACTTTCTTTAGAACTTGGGATTTTAAAGGGACCAATAGATTCAAGACAGTAAACCAGAAAAATAATATGGGGCCAACAAATTTGGTACTCATTTTTTAGGTACTATTTATATTATACTTAATAAGGGTTGACAAATATAATTTGCCTTGCAAGGTGAGGTGTCATGGTAAATTTATATAAGAACTCCAAAATAGAAGACAAAGTGCTGGGTTGTCTAATCCTTTGCCTTTAGGTTTAGGACAAAGTAATACATATGGAAAGGCATTCATTAATGAATGACTTTTCAAAAAGGGTCCATTTGGAGGTTTTTGTTAGGATGTTGTAGAAATTGAAATTTTGTGTGACTCTACAAGACGTGTTTAATTCGAATTGGGACTCTAAAAGGTGTGTTCAATTTCAATTAGAATTCTTGGAGGCTACTCAATCCTAAACTCTAATTCATGTCTATATAAAGAGAATTTTGTACCCTTTATATAGGCGTGAACTAGGGTTTAGGGTTGAGTAGCCTCCAAGAATCCTAATTTGAATTGAACACACCTTGTAGAGTCCCAACTCGAATTGAACGCATCTTGTAGAGTTCCACAAAATTTCAATGTCTACAAATGCCCCCTGTTTCAAAGCTTGTCATTGTCGGAGTGTAGACAAATCAAGTTGTTTCTACGATATATGAAACAAGCTTTTATCTTATGCGAAATTTATGAAAATTCAAAATGTAGTAATGTTAAAAGATGATCTACAACATATGATGATCATGATCCGATAAGCATGATTATTATAATGAGGTTTTGCAATAATCTATAAAATTAGAAAATGTAAGAGTATCACATGGAACACCAGAGCTGGATGGAAGTACTCTTCGAGATGGAAACATTAATTATCATTTCATGCATGGAACCAATATTATAAGATTTCTTTAAAATGAACTAAAAAAGAAAATTAGGACAAATAAATTTAAAATGAGCTGAGTAAACAAAGTAGCAACTTTTGTGTTGTAACTTGTGAGTTTCTAGTACTTGAATGACCAAATATTCTTGAGCTTTCCTCTATATAAGATTTTCCTTTGACGTATTCACAACTCTCAAAAGTCAAACCTATACTTTCGTTGATTATTTTCCTTTTTATATACTCATATTACTAAAATCATAAATAAAAAAGATAATTTTACTAATTTACTCAAAAAAAAATTGGAAATTTTATAAATAAATGTGAATACTCTCAAAAAGAATTAATTGCAAAGATGATATAGAAAAATTTCCTTTTAATTAATACTTTCTTAATTTAGTAAGAGGGACAACTAATATGAGACAAAAGTAATACTCTTGTCCCTAATTACTTATACAATTTTCTTTTTTTTATTTGTCCCTTTTTACTTGTCTATTGTGACAAATCAAGAAAAGACAATTCATTTTACCTATTATATCTTCAATTAATAATTTTCTAAAAGGTAGAACTTCTTAAAAATCTTAAATTTATAATAATTAACTACCAAATACTTGGGATAAAATCGAATAAATTTTGGACCATTTGTTGTTTTGGACACAAAATTTCGATAGATGATCAGCTTTTTATGTTAA